ACTCACAGCGAATGGGCGACTCACAGCGGATTGGCGACTCACAGCGGATTGGCGACTCACAGCGAATGGGCGACTCACAGCGGATTGGCGACTCACAGCGAATGGGCGACTCACAGCGGATTGGCGACTCACAGCGGATGGGCGACTCACAGCGGATTGGCGACTCACAGCGGATTGGCGACTCACAGCGGATGGGCGACTCACAGCGGATTGGCGACTCACAGCGAATGGGCGACTCACAGCGGATTGGCGACTCACAGCGAATGGGCGACTCACAGCGGATTGGCGACTCACAGCGGATGGGCGACTCACAGCGGATTGGCGACTCACAACGAATGGGCGACTCACAGCGGATTGGCGACACAACGGATGGGCGACTCACAGCGGATTGGCGACTCACAGCGAATGGGCGACTCACAGCGGATTGGCGACTCACAGCGGATGGGCGACTCACAGCGGATTGGCGACTCACAGCGAATGGGCGACTCACAGCGGATTGGCGACTCACAGCGGATGGGCGACTCACAGCGGATTGGCGACTCACAGCGAATGGGCGACTCACAGCGGATTGGCGACTCACAGCGGATTGGCGACTCACAGCGGATTGGCGACTCACAGCGAATGGGCGACTCACAGCGGATTGGCGACTCACAGCGAATGGGCGACTCACAGCGGATTGGCGACTCACAGCGGATTGGCGACTCACAGCGAATGGGCGACTCACAGCGGATTGGCGACTCACAGCGGATGGGCGACTCACAGCGGATTGGCGACTCACAGCGAATGGGCGACTCACAGCGGATTGGCGACTCACAGCGGATGGGCGACTCACAGCGGATTGGCGACTCACAGCGAATGGGCGACTCACAGCGGATTGGCGACTCACAGCGGATTGGCGACTCACAGCGGATTGGCGACTCACAGCGAATGGGCGACTCACAGCGGATTGGCGACTCACAGCGAATGGGCGACTCACAGCGGATTGGCGACTCACAGCGGATGGGCGACTCACAGCGGATTGGCGACTCACAGCGAATGGGCGACTCACAGCGGATTGGCGACTCACAGCGGATTGGCGACTCACAGCGGATTGGCGACTCACAGCGAATGGGCGACTCACAGCGGATTGGCGACTCACAGCGGATGGGCGACTCACAGCGGATTGGCGACTCACAGCGGATGGGCGACTCACAGCGGATTGGCGACTCACAGCGGATGGGCGACTCACAGCGGATTGGCGACTCACAGCGGATTGGCGACTCACAGCCGATTGGCGACTCACAGCGGATGGGCGACTCACAGTGCATGTGCGACTCACAGCGTATGCAGGCGGGAGAGCGCGGTGAGGGCGAGGGGGACGGAGCCCTTGAGGGCCTTCCAACTCAGGTGCCTGCGCAACACAACATGCAGGGAGGTTGGGCAGGACAGGCAAACAGGCTGCGAAGGAGCGAGCAACGATGCAGGTGGCGTGATGGATGAATGAAGCAGCGCTCGCGACGAGAATGTCATGGTCGCGACGAGCACGCTGTCATGGTTCACACGCTGTCATGGTTCACACGCTGTCATGGTTCACACGCTGTCATGGTTCACACGCTGTCATGGTTCACACGCTGTCATGGTTCACACGCTGTCATGGTTCACACGCTGTCAGGGCATGAATGTGGAGCGGCGGCGGCGGCGGCGGCAGCAGCAGCAGCAGAGGTGGCGCATGTGTGCACGCGCACTCAATGGCTATCGCTGTCAAGGCCCTCGCGCCCTTCGCCCATGCCGCGCAACTGCTAGGCCCCGCTGCTTCCCCCATACCCCATGCCTTCCCGCCTTTAGCGTGCTCTGCTCCCCTCATCGGCCCCGCCGTTCCCCCTGCGCTTCCCCCTGCGATTCCCCCCTTCTGGCACAGCCGTCCCCCGTGCACTGACAGTTCTGTGACCATGCCGTCGTTGTCGCACGTGATCGACTCCGCCGGCGCGCACTTCGCGCCTTGCGCCCACTCCGCCGCGCTCAACCCCCATTCCGCCGCGCACTCCTTCAGCGCTGCCGCTGCGCGCCCATTGCGGAGAAGATGAAGGGGGGAAAGGCGAGAGGGAGAGGGAGAGGGAGAGGGAGAGGGAGAGGGAGGAGAGAGTAGGTACGCGAAGACGGCGGCAAGGTGGTATAGGAGGTGCGTAATGCAGCGAGAGAAGTTCGCGAGAAATGCGAAGGAAAGTGCGTAATGCTGAACCAAGGACAAGCAGCAAGGCTCCATGGCGACCCGGTGCTGCATTAGACGCAGCTACTAAGGGCGGCTGAATCGGCCGTAGCGCTTAGGCTCTGCTAGAACCTGCTCGTGCGAGAATGTATATGAGAGCTTCGCTTTGAAAGATACGAATATATAGCGCCCCGTGCCGCCCTGGACGACTGGGCCGAAACGGAGGTCACTATTCAGAGGAGCAGCGGCAACCCTTTCGCATGCGTTACAATTGAGAAGGACGAAAGAAGCCGCCATCAACGGACTTTTCGCCACGCGGCACGTTAGTACTGCGCATATGGCGCATATGAAGTTCACCGCAGGGAGGCTGAATGGCCACTCCTAAGCCTTAGTATGCATACACATACGTTGTGATTGAGCCGAACAATTTTCCAAGCTGAGCTTGCTATGGTTCGAACCCTAACAGATTCTTCGCGCGTAACGCACCTTGGGAGTTGGCGAGAGGCACCGTCGCAGCCCGGATGACACGCGGCAGGAGAGCGACGACGAGCGCCACGAAACACGGAAGGACAAATGCGAAGTTCCGCGACCGCGAGCGAGCCGTTCTTGCAGAGCCCATCGCGGCGACGGCGTCTCTGGGAGGCGAGACAGTGTTTCCAAGGCCAGGCGATCATGGTGAGGGCGTAAGGGTGGCGCTGGGAAAGATAATACCGTGGTCGGTGACAGATGCTTGGTGAGGCCGTGGTGCAGTGCGGTGCGGTGGATGGGAATTGAGTGCGCGAGTTCGTGTGATGACGCCTGGGGATTTGCCGTTGTCCCAGCAGACTTCATGTGGAATGTGGGGGGTTTGTATTGCATTGGTTGGGAGTAGGACTTTCAAATACTTGACCTCCCCCTGCATTCGCATTTGCGCGCACTCGGCAACTTGGCATTGGCGGTCACCTCAGATGCTGTCACGTACCGCGCCAACCACAATTTTTGAAAGGGCGACACATTCTCGATACAGGAAAACGAGGGAAGGTGTTTGTCAAGTAAGTCAATTGGAAAAATGGTGGTGTGTTGCTCTGTATCTAACTACCAGATTGATTCTCTTAGAGCGTGTTCGACTTCAATATCGACATCCCTCGACACAACGTCGAGGTAGGGGAAAAGGGAGGTGACATCTGCCCTTTTTCTTCCTCCACCCTTCTTCCTTCCCCTTTTCCATGTCCGTTCCTGTCCCCGCTCTCCCTCCGCACCCCCTACGGGCAGGTTCTATGTGTGTGTCCGCGCATGAAGCGCTGCATGAAGCGCTGCATGTGCAGCATTTGTGCATGGGCGCAACCTTCAATGGCTCCCCTCCCCCCTCCACAACCTTTTCTCCCCCACATCCCCTTCTCTACCTCCGCTTCCCCCTCCTATTCTTCCCTCCCCTCCCCTCCCCGCCCCCCTTTTGAGTCCTACCAATGTGCATCCTCACATTCCCCCACCGTCTCATTCCATCAATGTGACTTGCTTTCTCCCACCTTACATATCCTCCCCCTACGCCTCCTGGCAGTGCGCTGTGCCTTGCCATGTGCTCACCCTCACGCTGCAGGGGAGGGGAGTGAGCATTCAGGAGAGATGTGCGCTCGCAGGAAGGATGTGCTCCCTACCCCCTTGAATTCGCACTTAGCACCGTGAACCTGAGAGGTCTACAGGATGCACTGCTGAGCCGTGCCATTGCCACACCACTGCCACACCATTGCCACGCCATTGCCACACCATGCACTGCTGTTTGCCAACTAGGTCTTCTCTTGTATCAAATGTGCTGTTCCACCTGCACTCCGCTTCAAGGGCCTTGACCTCTGCTCCCTGCCCCCTGGACCCTGCACTGGTGAGTGGGGTTCTGCTGCACTGGTGAGTGGGGTGGTGTTACATGGACAGATATCACTTGCTCCAGTCTACATGAAGAGAAGAGGTAACACCTCCCCGTCTACACCACGTACTCTCTACTATCCTCTCTGCCCAGCATCGCCAGCCTGGCACCCAGCGCACTGCCACCGCTCCATCCCCCCGCTCCCCCAGAGCTTCCCCATATGGACACCCCACTAGATTCCCTCCCTATCTCCCCCCCCACACACTCCCCCACATCCTCTCCCCTTTCTCCCCCTTGCCCCTCTCCCCTACCTCCTTCTTCTACCCCCTCCCCCTCCTCCCTCTCCTTTCTTTCTACCCCCTCCCCCTCTCCCTTTTCCCCCTTTTCCCCCCCCTCCCCCTTTCCCCCCTCTCCCCATTCTACCCCTCCCCTGTCCCCTGACTTGACCCGATCAAGCAGGGAGGAACGGAAGGGCCTGAAAACGTGGAGGGCAGAGGTGGGGGTGGGGCGGGAGGAGGAGGAGGGGGAGGAGCAGGCGAGGGAGAGGTGGAAGATGGGGAGGAGGAGGGTGGGAGAGGGGAGGGGGGGCGGCAGCAGGGGGTCGAGAACACGGAACACGTCACCGGCTGTTAGTTGCTGCTGGGCCTGCGGGAGGGGAAGGGGAACGGGGGAGAGAGATGGGCATGGGGATGGGAAGGGAGAGGGGGAGGTGGGCAAGGGAAGGGGAAGGAGGTGGGAAGATGTGCAGGGGTAAGGGGCGAGCGGGAAGGATAGTTGGGTCCTGCCATCCCATGTCATGCCGTGCCATGCCGTGTCATGCTGTGCGATGCTGTGCCACGCCATGCCACGCCTATCCATGGCTTGCTATGCCATGCCCTGCCATGCCTGCTCGACCATGCCATGCCATGCCATACCATACCATGCCATGCCATGCCATGCCATGCCATGCCATGCCATGCCTGCAAGACCTCCACGCACCCAGTCATAGATGTGGGTGCGCTGGCCATCCACATCCCTGAAGGGACCCGCCCACCCTGTGAACAGCTGTAGCAGCAGCACTCCCACACTGGCAAACGCAGGGTGGAAGTGGCAGGGGAAGGTCAGAAAGGGAGGAAATGGGGAGAGGGAGTGGGGAAGGGAGGTGGAGGGGAGCAGGGGAAAGGTTGAGGAGGAGGGGGGGGAAAGGTGGCATCCGATGCAGGAGGATCAGGCTGAGTGGTGCACACGAACTCTCATTCCTGTCAGGCAGGTAACACCCAAGAGGCGATGCAGGAACACCCAAGAGGAGATGCAAGTAAAGTAAAGCCCCACCTGTACATGTCACTGGTGGGTGGGATTAAAGCCCCACCTGTACATGACACTGATTAAAGCCCCACCTGTACGTGTCACTGATTTAAGCCCCACCTGTACATGTCACTGATTAAAGCCCCACCTGTCATGTCACTGGTGGGAGGGATTAAAGCCCCACCTGTACACGTCACTGATTAAAGCCCCACCTGTACATTTCACTGATTAAAGCCCCACCTGTATATGTCACTGATTAAAGCCCCACCTGTACATGTCACTGGTGGGAGTGGCAATGCCGGTTTGCACCACAGCCGGGTCCATATGCCCCTCCGTGCACCGCAGCACATACACCTTCTGCCCTCGCCCTCCGCCGCTGCTGCTGCTCCTGCTGCCGCTGTTCCTACCGAACCTCCATGAATTCCCACTATTAACACTCTTAACAGTGTTGCTACCCTTGTTAGTACGCTGCTGCTGCTGCTGCTGCTGTTCCTGCTACTGCTGTTCCTGCTGCTGCTGCTCCTGCTGCTGTTGCTGGTGTCTCTCCTGCTCCCCCTCCCGCTGGCGAAGAAGCCTTCCCTCTGCACTCCCCCTTCCAAGGCATCACCCATGTCTACTTGCACTCGCCGCCCCATGCGCACCACACTCCAGTCGCCCACACGCGGCTGGGAGAAAGGGGGAGGGGGAGGAGAGGCAAGGAGGGCGAGGGGAGCGTGAGACGAGGGGAGGGCTGTGCATGTGGTGCATGCAAGCATGGATGGGGCATGGCACTGCCAGGTTGACTAGGGAGGCTCTCTGTTGATATCCCTGAATACGGGATGCGTTTCAGCAACAACCTGACGAGGTCGAGGAACACACCTATGTATGAATCACATTTGACAATTTTCAACAAACGACGCATCTACGCATCTTCATACAGATCACTTTTGAAGTTTCTCAAAAGACACGCATGAGATCCATCATATGTATATACATGCGTGTCTTTTGAGAAACTTCAAAAGTGATCTGTATAAAGATGCGTCGTTTGATGATAATTGTCAGAAGTGATTCATACATAGGTGTGTTTCTCAAAGGTATGCACATTGAGGACACCTCAAAGGAAGCATGCAGCTGGGAGGAAGCATGCACCTCAAAAGTAGCACGCACCTGGGAGGAAGCACGCACATGAGATTTGCACGCACCTCGGAGGAAGCATGGCACGCACCTCGTAGGAGGCCCCGAGCAGCACGTTGGAGGGCTTGAGGTCGCCATGCACCTGCCCGTGGCTCTGCACTGCCTTGAGCGCCCTCAGCACTCCCACTGCCACGCCCACCCGCTGCTGCAGCGATAACGGCGCCGCGCCTGGCGGAGCGGGTGGAGATGGATGGGCACGATAAAGGGTCAGCGGTGTGATGGGGCAAGCGTGAGGTGCTGTTGTGAGACTCTGCAGGAGTGGATGGGTTGTGTGGATTTGCTACCTCAATCTTACAATAGAATTCCCTCATGATTCAACCAATCTGCGAACTCAACATTCGAATTTGGTTGGACTCCCATCCCATTCATTACCTCCTCTACCTCAACCCATCTAAGCCCACATACCTTCCTTTTAAGATATGAACACAAGCTTCTAACACGATGTTGCGCATTCAACTCAACACCATGGCACGCACCTGGCTGCAGTGCTGCCTCGAGGCTGCCTCGCTCCATCCACTTATACACCAACACCATCTCATTCCCCACCTCCCGCCCGCTCCCTCCCCTCTCCCCCTCCTCCTGCAAGGGGCAGCAGCACCAGCCCACGAGGGAGAGCACGTTGGAGTGCCCAAGGCGCGCCAAGCCCGCCACATGAGCCTCAAACTCCGCCCTTGCCGCCCCATGCGCCCCCCCCCACAGGCGCTTCACTGCCCACTTCTCCCCCGGCCTTCCCCCTTTCCACACATTTGCCCCTCGCAACTGCTTGCCTTGTGACCCTTCCCCCTTGTCACCCCCCTCCGTTTTCTTCTTCTTTCCTGTTCCTTCCGCATCCTTCCCCCCATCTTCCCCCCCATCCTTCCCCCCATCCTCCCCATCCCCCCCCTCCACCGCCTCCACCCATTCCCCCCGGTACACGTTACTCCACCTGCCTCCGCCCACAAGCCGCCCCTCCGCCCACCCATCAGTGACCCTCAGAATGTCAGCCAGGGGGATGTGCGGGCAGTTGGTTGAGCGCTTCAGCATGGGCGCGGCTGGGAGAAGGAAGAGGGGAAGGGCAGGAAAAAAAATCAGGTGGGAAATTATTGGGGGGAACGAGCAGGGAAAACTTGTGAGAAAGAAGCAGAGGAGTGATGTGATCTTCGCTCATTCTTGGCTTGATTGTTTGTTTGTTTGTTTGTTTTACTCACAGGTTGAGGGAGCATGGGGCGTTTGTTGACAAAGCGGGGGTGAGAAGGCAGAGGAGAGGGTGGGAGAATGAGGACGAGGGAAAAAACGCTCCACACACTCACACAACGTTTCGAGCCACACACACCACATGCAGACACGCTGCATTCAAAGCCTCAACAATCATGCCATCATGCAATCCTCTATTCATAACATATACGTTCAGAATCTCTCCTTTCTCCCTCTCCCCTCCCCACTCACTCAAATCCTACCCCGTTTGCTCCCTCCCCTTGCTCCCCTTCCTCCACCTCCACACCCGCCATCCCACCGCCACCACCGCCAGCAGCAGCACCACTGCACCCGCTGCTGCCCCCACAATCGCGGACAGTGTGAAGGAGGAGGGTGGAGGGGGAGGAGGGGAAGGGGGGGCGAGGAGGACGGTGACGGTGGGGGGAGGAGGTGGGGGGGAGGGGGATGGCGGAGGAGGGGGCGGAGAAGGGGGAGGCGGACTGTGGATTGGTGCTGGGGGGGAGGGGGGTTGGGATGGGGGGAAAAGGGGATGGGTGGGCGATGGCAAGGATGGAACTTGAGAAGGAAGGAAAGGTCAGCAGAAATTTACAGGGAGTGCTTGTAGGCGAATTTGCATAGCGAAGACGCGAGAGGTATAGTTGTAGGACTCTTGAATCGACTCTGAGATTGGAAGAGCATGGCAGGAACGCACGTGATGTGATGCAATTGTAGCATTGGAAGGTGCATGATAGGGGCAATCCTGACCGTCGATTGGGATGCACGTGGAGCAGAACGCTACACAGAGCATGCAAAACGTGGATGAACGGTTCTGCTTGATTTCACAGCTGCTGCCCTCCGTTGGGCAAGCTACCCCAGAAAAATGACTGAGAGAGAGCAGGGGCAGGTTGAGGATACATGGGGCCGGATTGGGAAAAACACAAGAGGTACAGAATAGCTTATGTGAATACATAATTAGTAGACATATTCACCAATGGCCCACCTTATATGCGCCTACCCAAACTCATTTCAAATGTCCTATTACAGGGGGATATGCATGAAAGTATCTGTAAAAATTCTCAAACACATGAAGTGATAATGGGTTGGAGTGAGACAGTTGCGAGGGGGTGAAGGAGAGACAGAGGGTTCCAGGGGAACAATCGTTATAATCACACAAGAACTCGAGCTTCAAGCCTCCGTAAGCGGCGGGGATGGTTTCGTGAAGCTTCGTGTTGCTCACGTCACTGAATGGGATGAGGTTAGGGGAACAAAAGAAGGCACGGGGCAGCGGGTGAGGTGGGGGGGGAAGAGGAGAGGTGCGGGGAGGAACTGAACGGCCATGACAGAATGGGAGAGAAGGTGTTAGGTGAAAGAACACCCATGGGGTGAATGGGTAGGAAGAGATGACCTGCGGTTTGCTCCTTTATCTTTGTTCGAGTTTAATGAGTTGAGATGGGTTGCGGCAGAGTTGCAATGAAACAGAGACATAGAAATGGCAGAAAGGGTGCAGTGCAGAGGGGCGGACAGAGGTGTAGAGAGGCAGGGAGAGGGGCACAGCGAGGTGCAGTGTGGCGCACAGCGCGGTGAGTTGGGTGAGGGCGGTGAGAAACAGAGGCAGCTCGCCCTCAACAGCTGTGTCTCTTATTGACCTGGGGTACGGGGGGGAAGGGGGAAGGGGGAAGGGGGAAGGGGGAAAGGGGATGGGGGATGGGGGAGGAGAGGTGATGAAACAAGGAGGGGGAAAAGGGAGACCAGGCAAGGGGTAAAGGAGGGGCAGAATAAGTAGCGGCATGAGATGGGGCATGAGCATATGAGGGGGACGGGAGCGAGGAGGGGGGAGAAGCAGAGAGATCGCGAAAGAGAGGAGGGAGGAAGAAGAAGAGGGAGAGGAAAAGAGGAGTAGGGAGGAGGAGAACAGGCAGCAAAAGTTGAAAGGGAAAGTGAGGAGGGCCAGCCGCAGAGGTAGAGGAGAGTGAGGCGGGCAGTGGTGGGGTGGGTGGGGCGCATGAGAGGGGAGACAGCAGGTGCTATAAGAGGGGTGCACGACGGAGTGGTGAGAGGCGGTGCAGAGGGGTGAAGATTCGAGTCGAAGCAGGGGGGCGAAGTGGAGGAGCAGGAGCAGGAGAGGCGCAAACAGGTGAGGGGGAGAAGGAGGAGGTGCGGGAGGGGGGGTGCTGACAGCACTCGGAGGGTGGTGAGGCGAGACAGGGCGCGGGGCAGAGAGCCCGAGAAGAGAGGGTTCGCACTCACTTCCCTGCCGTGCATGTGCGTGCGGGTGGGGCAGAGGGGTGGCAAGGGTGGGGAGAGGGGTGGCAGGGGTGGGGAAAGGGGTGGCAGGGGTGGGGAAAGGGGTGGCAGGGGTGGGGAAAGGGGTGGCAGGGGTGGGGAAAGGGGATGGAGCGGACGGGAGAAAGTGTCCCTGAATCTCTTTTATATGCCGTGGTGTTGAGTTTGCTTTGAGCCGTGGTGAAATGGCATTCAGCCTTCTCTATCAGCGACCACGAAGAGCAGCAGACAGCCGAGGGGAGCGGGCAAGGAAGGGCGGGAGGGGCGAGATGCTGTAGGGGTGGTTGCCATGCGATGCACAGACTTGTACGTTCACATCATTCCATCTGGAACAACAATTACTATAAAGATCATTGGAAAAAGGAAGAGGAGGGGTTGTGTGTGTGTGCAACCAACAGGGAGGCGAGGCGGGAGAGGGCAGTGATGGTGGCGGGGATGCTTCCTGTGATGTTGTTGTTTGGCGCGTAGCTGATGACGCCAGTGCCGCATGCAAGCACGTACACACACACCATACAATACAAGGGACACGTGCAAGTCACTTTGGAGAACGATCACAGGTGAAACTAGAGTTGTATGGCACGTAAAGTCTACCACTTGCGTTTCTGTGATCATCTTCCTATAGCTGGTCGGTTTTGAAGTCGCTTGGTCAGTTGAAGTCGTGCTTCGTGGCTATATGCAGGTGGTATCGTTGTGGAGTGGTACAGAGGCACGCAGAAGCAGCTACAAGGCTGGGAGGACATGAGTCTGCATCAACGCATCTGCAGACGCTTGGTGCTTGGTACATCAACGGAAATTTGATAGAAGTTTTCTGCAGGGCGTGCGTTACAGAGATGTAAGGGAGGAGAGCGCAGTGATGTCATAGAGCAGAGGGCCAGAGATGCCCGTGCGGGCGCACACGGGCGCACAGAGTGTTGCATGGGATGGGATGATTGAGATAGCCCGGATGTTATGGCATGGCATGGCATGGCATGGCATGGCATGGCATGGCATGGCATGGCATGGCATGGCATGGCATGGCATGGCATGGCATGGCATGGCATGGCATGGCATGGCATGGCATGGTATGTGATGGTATGTGATGGTATGTTGGGAATGAGGCTGGCACGGAATCAGAGGAGAGGGTGGAAAGAGGAGGGGGTGGAGTGGAGAGAGGAGAGGGTGGAGAGGAGAGGGTGGGGAGAGGAGAGGCGTACAGGTAGGCGAGGGCAGTGATGTGGGTGAAGGCTGGTGGGAAGGGCCCGTGAAAGTCGTTGTTATTCAAGGCGCTGCGACAATGAGAGCAGGCAGGGCGTAGATTGCTGTTGCGATTCATGCTGCTGCGAGGACGTGCGGGCGTGCGTGAGACTTTTGAGTCGATTCAAAAGTGAACTCATTTTGCTGCGAGGGCGCGGGCACAAAAAGGGCGTGCGTTCGAGCAAGTATGGATGATGTTGTGGTGATGGTGCACGCGAGAGGGAGGGAGGAGGCAGGGCGATGGGGAAGACAGAGCTGAATGCTGGGGTATGTGGTGGCATGCCCGCCGATGGCCGACAGTTGGACGAGGGGGGGAAGGAGATAGGAAAGGGAGGGACAGAAGTGGCATGGGAGGGAAGGGAAGGAAGTGGCATGGGAGGGAAGGGAAGGAAGTGGCATGGGAGGGAAGGGAAGGAAGTGGCATGGGAGGGAAGAGAAGGAAGTGGCATGGGAGGGGCAGGTCCCCTGAAAGGAATATGGACAGAAAACGAGAAGGTGGGAGGGCATCGAATGGAGAAGCAGTGTGAGTGCGGAGGGGGCGCAGGAAGGGAGTGGGGCGAGGGACTGACAGAGACGTGAGATTCTGCAGGCGCGAGGCGGTGAGTGGAATGGGCCCTGTGAAGCTGTTGCTGTAGAGCTCGCTGAGAGGGTGGGGGGAGTGGGGAGGAAAAGGGAGCGATAGTGGAGAAAGTGCAAACGTGGAAGAGGGGTGGCGAGAGGAAGGTGGAGAGAGGAAGGTGGAGAGAGGAAGGTGGAGACAGATTGATGGGGAGGAGACGGGAGGAGGAAGAAGACGGTGCAGTGCAGGCAGTGCAAGCAAGGTATGAACCCCACCCCACAATTCGAAGCCACTCCCTGGTAAGCAGTGCAGCAGGTGTGTGCGCGTGTTGTGAGAGGAAAGGGAGATGCAAGTTCAGGTGAGTGGGTGGTTACAGTTCGACAAGCGATTGCATGCGCGCAATGACGGTGAACACAGGACCCGTGAGGAAGTTTTCACCCAGCTTCCTGTAAGTATGCACATGCACACATGCACACACACATGCACACATGCACACATGCACACATGCACACATGCACGCATGCACACATGCACACATGCACACAAGCGCGCATGCACACATGCGGAGATGCACACATGCACACAAGCGCGCATGCACACATGCACACAAGCACGCATGCACACATGCGGAGATGCACACATGCACACACGCACGCATGCACACAAGCGGAGATGCACACATGCACACATGCACGCATGCACACATGCGGAGATGCACACATGCACACACGCACGCATGCACACATGCGGAGATGCACACCAACATGAACAGGCATGCACACAAACACAAGCACAAATGCGCACGTGCGTGCACGCAAGCACAAGGTCATACAGCACAAGGTCATACAGCACAAGGTCATACAGCACAAGGTCATACAGCACAAGATCATACAGCACAAGGTCATACAGCACAAGGTCATACAGCACAAGGTCATACAGCACAAGGTCATACAGCACAAGGTCATACAGCACAAGGTCATACATCACAAGGTCATACAGCACAAGGTCATACAGCACAAGGTCATACAGCACAAGGTCATACAGCACAAGGTCATACAGCACAAGGTCATACAGCACAAGGTCATACAGCACAAGGTCATACAGCACAAGGTCATACAGCACAAGGTCATACAGCACAAGGTCATACAGCACAAGGTCATACAGCACAAGGTCATACAGCACAAGGTCATACAGCACAAGGTCATACAGCACAAGGTCATACACAAGGTCATACAGCACAAGGTCATACAGCACAAGGTCATACAGCACAAGGTCATACAGCACAAGGTCATACAGCACAAGGTCATACAGCACAAGGTCATACAGCGCATGGAACAATCATAGCCCCGACGTCTCAAGCAAGCAGCCCTCGTGGTCTCTCAAGCACCACATGCCTGCCACGTGCACATGCCTGCCTGTTGCGTGCACATGCCTGCCACGTGCACATGCCTGCCTGTTGCGTGCACATGCCTGCCACGTGCACATGCCTGCCTGTTTCGTGCACATGCCTGCCACGTGCACATGCCTGCCTGTTGCGTGCACATGCCTGCCACGTGCACATGCCTGCCTGTTGCGTGCACATGCCTGCCACGTGCACATGCCTGCCATGCACGGGGGCAGTGCGCCTCACAGGGAGGTGAGCAGGCGGAGGGCGGAGAGGGCGGGAGGCAGAGGGCCAGAGAGACTGTTGGACTGAAGATCCCTGGCAGCACCGGGGGACAGAGGAGGGATGGAAGGGCAAGGGAAGGGAAAGGGAAGGTCAAGAGGGAAGGAGGGATGGTGACATGATGGGTAACGTGGTGTGTGACGTGGTTTGTGACGTCGCATGTGACGTGGTGTGTGATGTGGCATGTGGCGTGGCATGTAACGTGGTGTGTGACATGATGGGTAACGTGGTGTGTGACGTGGTGTGTGACGTGGCGTGAGAGCGAGCAGGCAAGTGGGGCCAGGGCGAGGTGACTCACCCCGGGGCCGGCCCCTGGCGACTCACAGCAAGCGCAGGCGAGGGAGCGCGGTGAGGGCGAGGGGGATGGAGCCCGTGAGGCCGTTTGAATTGAGCAGCCTGCCCAGCGCGCAGACGAATGATGGGGACGTTGGGGAGGAGGGGCACACAGGCAGTGAGGGGGCAATGATGCGGATGGCGCAATGGAGGGGCACGATGGAAGGCGCTATGGAGGGGCACGATGGAAGGCGCTATGGAGGGGCACGATGGAAGGCGCTATGGAGGGGCACGATGGAAGGCGCTATGGAGGGGCACGATGGAAGGCGCTATGGAGGGGCACGATGGAAGGCGCTATGGAGGGGCACGATGGAAGGCGCTATGGAGGGGCACGATGGAAGGCGCTATGGAGGGGCACGATGGAAGGCGCTATGGAGGGGCACGATGGAAGGCGCTATGGAGGGGCACGATGGAAGGCGCTATGGAGGGGCACGATGGAAGGCGCTATGGAGGGGCACGATGGATGTATGAAGCATGCGTGGTGAGAGTGCTGTTATGTCATAGTCTGCTCCATGTTCACAAGCCATGCATGTGGAGCGCCAGTGGCAGCAGCAGCAGCAGCACTCAGCGGCAGTACTTGGTGGCACTCAATGGCGCGCATGCGCTAAACCCTCGCCCGCATCTGCTATGCCCCGCTGCTCCCCTCATCGCACCCCGCGCTCTTCCCGCGCCCTCGCCCTTTTTCCCGCCCTCTGCTCCCCTCATCGCCCCCGCATTCCCCCACCCTGCTGCCCCCCATGCTTTCGCAAGCGCTTCTCCCCGCGCACAACCGTCCCGCGGGGCACTGACAGCTGTGTGACCATGCCGTCCTTGTCGCACGTGACCCCCTTCGCCTGCGCGCAGTCCGCGCCTTGCGCCCACCCCGTCGCGCGCATCCCCCACTCCGCCGCGCACTCCTTCAGCGCCGCCGCTGCGCGCCCAATGGGGGGGAGGTCGAGGGCGGAAAGGCGATGCGGACGGCAGGAATACGGGATTCGAGAGGAGGAGCAGGGAGAGAGGAGGAGAGGGAGAAGATGAGGGAGAGCGGGAGGGAGAGGGAGAGGGAGGAGAGAAAACTTCGTACGCGAGGATGACGGCAGGGTATGACAGGACGGAAATTCCGTCTCTTGAAGAAAGGACTTAACGCAAGAGCAAAAAGTTCGCGAAGAATTGCGAGGCTTGGTGAACGAAAGACAAGCAGGAAGGCTCCATTTCATAACGGTGCTGCGGTGGTCCCAGCTACGAAGGACAGGCTCATTCGGATTGGCACGTAGGCTCTGGTAAAACCTGTTCATGTGATATTGCATATGAGGGCTTAGCTTTGAAGAATACGACTTATTTGTAACGCCCCAGGTTGACCGACCAAAACGGGGGTTGCACAGAGGTTGCCTTACAAGCTATAAAACGGAGGTTTCGTCACGCGGCATAGCGCGCATTGGGAGCCGGCGAGTGATTCTATCACCAATGGACTGAACGAGGCGCCCCTAAGTCCCTAAACAATCTACGCGCATAGCGCACCTTGTGAGTCGGCGACAGTCACGGGCTGGACGCCACGTGGCAGCAGAGCGACGATGACCGCCGCTAGACATGGAAGGACAGCTGTGAGGATCGGCGAGCTAGTCGCCCTTCCACGTCCCATGGCGTCGACGCGGCGGGAGGAATAATCGCTTTTCTCGAGAAATGCTAGTGCGCAGCGAAGGTAAAGAATTATGCTGGCATAGAAGTGGTGACGCGACGCAAGCCGTGGTGCAGTGCGGTGGATGGTCGTTGCACCGAATTCGGTGCGCGGGTTTACGTGCCGCCTTCAGAACACCTTTCCCGAATGGGATGGGCTCGCGACATTGACGAAGCGAGTAACCGTTCTCGCAGTTCAATGCGGGAAACCTGTGGCTACGCATCACATGCTTTCGTGTATCAAGTTCTGTTTTCGTTGTAAAGTGCCTATACGCGATAACAGATCAGCACATCCAAGAAAACCGCGGGAAAAGCCAGTGTCAGATGTCAGAAAATTGAATCTCCCAGCAATTCGTCCAATTGATCAACAATGCAAGCAGGGCTTCCACAACCGTGTCGCTTTTGCACTTTCCACTTTCGAGACGGTCAACCACGGTTAGAATTCAACTATGTTCGGTTGAGAATGGTTATATGTAACTGTTAAACTCGATTCCACTCAAGGTTGTCGCTAGTTCATACCACGAGCACAAATACCGTTCGCTGCTTCTGTTCTGCTAGTCTTGGATTAGCTCCCTAAACTCAACTATCGTTTTCCAACAGCCTTCTTGACCTTTCTGTTGCATTTCTTGCGCCTTGCGCGTGTCGTTTCGCACAGTCGCGAACCGCCATGGTCGCGGAGACGTCGGACCTCCCTCAATCCTTCTCTTCTCTCGCCTTGAGTAGCGGTGCGCTCATTCGCACCGTTCAGGCCGAGAACGCGACGGGAGGCGATGCGGAGCGAGGGAGCGGCGAGGTGTCAGGGGTGCCAGTGGAGGTGTTTTCGTCGGTGCTGAAGATGCTGCCGTCTCTCGACGACCTCGCCGCCGCCGCGAGGGTCAATAGGTGCGCTCCGAGACAGAAGTATAGAGGCCTTACTACCTCCATCTTTCCCCTATTTGTGCTGCTTGTTGCCGCTTCCGCTTTCGCTCCGCTCTCCCATCTCTCTGCGCCATTCATCCGGCGCGTGCTGTTCCGCTCTGACCAGTGTCCCCGCGTTCGTGTTCTCTCCGCAGGGCATGGCGCATCTCCGCGCTCTCCCCCTCGCAGTTGCGCGCGTGTGCGATCGACGACGACCGCCCCACCGCGCCCTCCGCGCACAGCCGCGTGCTCGCGCACTCCCGCGCGCCTATGCCGCCTAAACCGCCTCCTCCCGAGCTCTGGCTCAACCCCGCCGCCTTCTCCCCTTTCCTCCACTTGCGCACGCCGCAAAGCCTCCGCCGAAGGGGGAACACCATCCGCGCCAGCCCCGTGTTAGTATCCGCGGTGGCGAGTGATTCCGAGGGAAGCTGCCTCCCCAGCCGCGCCAGTTGCGAGCCGCTCGGAGGCACGACGCCGGCGACGCCGGAAGCCACGGTCACCAGCAGGCAGGCGGGCGGCGCAGAGTGGCGGGAGGGGTGCGCGCATGGCGGGGTAGGAGGGGCGTGGTCGTCACCGCGCACGCCGTCGCCAGTTGCGGCGAGGGAGGGCGAGCTGATGGCGTTCGACGAGGAGGTCACGCGCGCCGTGACGCATGGCAGGTACTTCAAGTGTGCTTCGTGTGTTTTCGCCTGGCAGTCTCGCCTCACAATGAACGCAAGATGCTCAACGAATCGCGGTTCCCTCCTCTCCGTTTCAGGTTCTTGGGTGACGTGGACCTGCGCTCCCCGCGAATCACGGACGACACGCTACAGTGAGTGACGTAGTGCGACGGGGGCAGGGGAAGAAGGGGTATGGGAAAGAGCGTAACGGGAAAGGAGTGAGGCGGTGTGCAGGAGGTGTCTTACCTTTTTCACTTCACTCGCTTCCCTCCTCCTTCCTCTTCCTCCCCGCTCATTCCCACTGCTGCCTTTCCTTCTCCTTTCTGTCCCTCACAGGCGGGTTCTGCGTGCGTGTCCGCGCCTGCAGGCGCTGCGCGTGCAGCACGTGTGCATGGGCGCAACCTTCAACGGCTCCCCGCCCCCCTTCCACAGCCTGCTCTCCCCCACCTCCCCCTACCACCTCCCCTTCTCCACCTCCCCCTCCCCCTCCCCATCCCCCTCGCCGGAGTCCCCCAACGCGCCTCATTGCCTTCCCCCATTGCCTCCTCCGCTCCACGCGGCTCTCCTCCTTCTTCCCATTGCCTATCCTCTCCCACCGCCTCCTCCTCCACAATGGCACCCCCCAACTCGCCCTTTCCCCAGTCCTCCTCCCCCTCTCCCTTATTACCCGTGTCCTCCACCCTCCCGGGCGCCTCTCTGCCTCCTCGCTCCCCGCATTCCCCCGCTATCCCGCCTCCCCCTCCGCCCTACCCGTGCGGGTGCCTGCCCCTGTCCGCGCGTGGGCTGGCGGGCATTGGCGCGCTGTGCCCCGCCATCAAGGCGCTCACCCTCACACTGCAGGTACGGGGTGGGTGGGGGGGTATGCGCATTCATGGAGAACGTGTGTACTCAGAACGGAATGTCTGGAATCGGGAGGGGATGCACGCAGGGAAAGGGAAGGGGAGGGAGGCAAGGGGAAGTGGGGAATGTTCGAAGGTATGTCAAGTGCGTGATTGGCTGTGCATGTGAACCACGTGACCACCCTCTGAACAAATCTCACTCACTCACCATGCCTGTCTCACCTCCAACTTCCACCTTCTCCGCTCCTCTTTTCTCCTTCCCTGCCGATCCCCGCCCCATCCCGTCCCCTTGCTCCCCCGTGGCAGCACGTGGTGTTTGCATGCGACCTGCCGGGCATGATGGCGTGTGTGGGCGCGCTGCCACGCCTCACCATGCTCGTCGTCGACCTGCACATGCCGTCAGTGCCCCATGCCGCATGCCACACGCCTCATGCCTCATGCCGCATGCCACACGCCTCACCCATCTGCGCTTGGGCTTGCCCTTCTGCGCTTGGGCTTGCCCTTCTGCGCTTGGGCTTGCCCTTCTGCGCTTGGGCGTGCCTTCTTCACGTTCGCTCGCCTGCACTGCATGCGCCCCATGCGCTACGTTGTGCTCTCCTCCCTGCACGCCGCTCTCTTGGCCTGCCACATCTCGTCTGCGCCTCTCGCTCATCCCCCCTGCAGCTTCTTCGGGCAGTCAGTGAAGGCGGACGCCCTGTGGTCCACGCACTCCTGCTTCACCCACCAGGTCAGCAATACACTGCACTCTGCACGCTGCACTCTGCACGCTGCACGCTGCACTCTGCACGCTGCACTCTAGAGCCATGAACCGTGCTCCCTCTCTGAAGCCGAGAGTGATATGGTTCTGCAGGGGCAGGGATTGGAACCTCAGAAGGCACCTCAGCCTGCGCACTCCTCTTCCCTCCCTCCCCTGCGCCCATGACCTCACTCCCGCCCCTGAGCAGGCCATGACAGCTCTGGCGACAGCAGGCCCGCCGCCGCTCACAGCGCTGTCGCTCAGCCCCTGTGCCCTCGAGCCCGCCTCCTTCCACACGCTCGCCTCCGCGTTTCCCGGCCTCCTGGTCTGTGTTTCGCTGCTGCTGCTGCTGTTGTTGCTGTGGCCTTTGTTTCTCGCGTTCTCTGTGCCGTCATGCCGCGCCATGGACCACCACGTGCACGTACTGCCTTGCTGTCAGCATGCGCTGCCTTGCTGCTAGCATGTCCTGTCACATTGCCAGCATGCATTGTCACATTGCCAGCATGCATTGTCACATTGCCAGCATGCATTGTCACATTGCCAGCATGCAATGACACACTGCCAGCATCTATTGTGCCCTCGTAGGTCAAACATGCTCCTGCCATCCCCCGCCCGCCGCCCTCTATGCCCATCCCCCTGCCATCCCCCTCATGTCACCCTCCGGCGGCCATACCCATCCCCTCAGGCGCTGGACCTGCAGGGGCTGCACAGCGAGCCCATGCACCTCGCCCACGCCCTGCCACTCCAGGTACTAGCACCATGTTTCCACCACACCACCTCATGCCTGCCTGGCCTTCACCTCACACTAAAGGTCACCAAACAAGCATGCGCATATGAGCACCAGCTTACGCCATGCCATGCGCCCTACCTCTCATCCCCGGATTCCCATGTGCTGTGCTCTCCTTCCTCAGGCACTGCACCATCTCCAGGCGCTGGCGCTTGGCCCTGCCACCATGCCTGCCCTAGGCGATTGGGAGCTGCCTCTGAGAAGCCTGCAGCGTTTGCGTCTGGAGGTTGAAGGCATCCCTTCCCACGATGCATTGGCTGAGCTCCGTTGCAGTTGCCCAAAGCTGAAGAGCCTTCATTTGTTGTGGGGGAGAGAGCACAGGCAGGGGGTTATGGAAGCCTATCTATGTCCTTTGACATTTGAGACCATTAACACCCTGTATGACAATAACTAGTAATGTATCATGCGTTGTATTTATCAGGTGGCTTGATGAAATCACATACAATTGCCTACCTGAATAGGATAATAATGGGCCGAGTATTTGGATACATTCTCATACTCGTAATGGCAAAACTATGCACCTATCCAGCCGAATCCTTCAGATATCCACGCTCTCACATTTGTGTAATATTTATGGAGTTTAGGAGCTATTAGGTTGACATGGATTGATGTTTTCCTTAGGTTTGCAGTCGTAGCGCCAATTCTCATAGCAGGAAACTCACAGACGGGATTCCAAGTGCAGGGAACGCAGCAAAATTGCTGGCTGCTAGAAGCGAAACGCTTACGAAATTGCGATTCCAAGCGGTCTTTCGGCATCTTCAAGGTGGGAGAAGCTGATTCGTTGTCAAACAAATCGCCCACCCGCATCTCGTTACATTTCTCGCCTCTGGTTGGTTCCATATCTGGTGGTTTGTGACGCGTGGCGTGGCGTCGCAGGTTGGTAATTTTCACTTGCCCGTGTGGTGATGGTCGGCTCGGAGAGGTGGTTGGTTGCACTTTGTGTGCAGCGGAAGAGGAAAAAGAAGAGAACGTCCATTTCCCTAGTTGGTCGTTTTGTCGAGTCGCTTCCACTGCAATCAACGGGCTCCTCCTTCCCATCTCGAGCTCTAAATTGATTCTTTGACGATCTCTGCTGCAGAGCAAATTCTCGTGCTGGCCTTGTCGTATGGAGAGGAGAGAATGATCATGTAGTTTGATTGACGTTTGCTTACGTGTTACTTGTCCAGCATTTTCCCAGCTCCCGGCGTAGCAATCTTCTTGCACACCAGGACGGAACATTTAATGTCGTCAGCATCGGCGTTAGACTGTTCCCACACATCATGGCCAGATGGCTTACCTTGCAGTCCTCGCTCAGATAAGGATTACTGGCTTATAAGAACGTCCATACTGGCAACAAAGAGTCTATCAGGTCCCCGACGCTTGTTCCGGGATGTCATCGAGTGCTGCGAGCTTGCGACCGACATCTGCGAGAGTCTTGTTGGAATACCTTCAGAAAAGTCGTTTGACCTTCTTAACCGTGCCTCACGGATCCAGGTTGGTTCACGTTACAGTCGAAATGCATTCTACGGTATTTCCCATAGTCTGACGTGGCCGCAATTGTCAAGCAGAGCCTTTTGGTCGAAGACCTCTTTGAGTACGAGAGGCGCCAGAATGAGGAAGATATCGGGAGAAGCCTTACACGTCTCGACTCCGTTGTTGAGCAGGTATAGGGATTACGAGCTATACCTGTTCTTTGCTCAAATGTAAAAACTCGTGTGCTGAACGGAGTGCTCTGGTCTTTCAGGTGAAGAAGGATTTGTGCGAACTTATGGAGTCTCACTGGAAGACTATCCGTCAAACAAGCCGTTATTGGAAATTGCACGAAAGTCTGATCGCGCTGGAGGCCTCGGCGATTCAACTCGTGAGTGTCGCTGTTTTGACGTGTGCTTCCTCTCTACGGTTGTTCGTTCTTCGTTCTCTCTTACTTCACTTACTAATAACTCTGTTGTGTCTCCCTGCCAGGGTGAAGCATTGTCCGACGCGTGTTCCCGTTCGCTTTCTGAATCCAAGCCAGGCTCGGGTTCACCCTTGACCATGCCTCTGCCATTATTACCTGTAGATGATTGGGATGACATATTGCCATGGCAAGCAGCCTCCATACAATCAGCATTCCCCACAGGTGCGGTTTGGAGGACAAGGTTTATGTCATATGTCCTGGTTGGGCCCCTTCACTGTTCTCACAAAAAATGTGTGTGTGGGTGTGTGTGTGTGTGTGTTTTTTTTTTTTTTTTTTTTTTTTGTTGTTGTGCAGCTCTGGAGTCAGATGCAGAGACAACATTGCAACCATACTTCTACAGCATGAGTCCTCTCTCTTGTTCAGGCTCATCACCATCGCTGAGAAACCACACAGCAAGTACGTTTGATCTAGGCTCCACAACTATTCCACGAGAATTTTATCCAAAACCTGTAATCACGATATGCAGGAGATCTCCAGCATTAGACATGAATCCGCAACTGGTGCGCTTTTCCTAACATTCAAGTCTTCTTGATTGATATCTGGTGTTTGAAGCATGCATTGTGTAAGGCATGGCAAATATGCGAGAAATGTATGAGGTCAATGGCAAATCTTTTTGTCAACAGTATCGCGGATGTCCTGAATAGAGCACAAGAAAGGAACAGACGCGAAATTGGGGGAAATATCAGAAATGGCCAAACGCCCGTAATGAAAGACCTGTCCACTAAAAATTTTACAAACTGACGAGAATCCCTGGCAGATAAGCACACGAAAGGAATTTTAGTGTCCCTTCCTTTTCGCGGGGTAGGATTCGGGAAGGAAATAAAATAGTGGGCTCAAGGGAAACGGGAAATGGGAAAATGAAGCAGGTGAGTTTGTTTGGTAGTCCCTGCTGTACGCGATAGGTGCGGCCCCGTCTACAGAGAACACTTCACCTTCCCCGTTTGAGTTTAGTACGGTTCCTGCTAGTTGCTTCTGGCAACGTATTACCGTGCGATTGTTTTTAGAGCGAATCGTCAGCATACCTGCCTAACTTGACGACTCGTGTGACGCAGGTTCAGCGCAATGTACTCCCGAATGGCACCGTCGATGTCCGCCTATAATGCTGCGCACGCCGACGAACTACCGCGTCAGCGGCGGAAGCGGAGGACGAAGGCGCAGATGGCGGCGGACAGGGCGATCGCGGCGGCGTTCAAGCGGAAGCGCGGTCGGCCGAGCAAGTCGGACGTGCTGGCGCGGCAGGCGCTGATCATGGCGGCGCACAGCGGCATGCCCGTCACGGACCCCTCCAACATCGACGCCATTCTCGCCGCGCAGAACGCGTCGGCGCTCGTGCCCACGGCGACGGCGACGCGCGCGAGGATGACCAAGTCGCAGCTGAAGGCGCGGCGGCTCAACCAGGCGGGCGGCGACGACGGCGCGGCGGTGCAGCCCGGTTGGGTGGGACAGAACGTGCAGGGCGTGCTGGACGGCACGTTCGACGCGGGTTACTTTGTAACCATCCGCGTCGGCAACACCAACACCATTTTGCGCGGCGTCGTGTTCGCGCCTGGCGTAGCGGCGCCCCTGCCGTGGCCGGAAGACGCGGCGCCCAGAGTGCCGAAGCTGAAACGCGACGCGTCCATCACCCTCCCTGCTGGCCCCGCCCCTGCTGCTGAAGCTTCAGCAGCGCCAGCGGCGGCAGCGGCAGGTGGCGATCTGGGTGGCGCACGGGCAGCAGCGCCTGCAGCAGCCTCGCAACCTGCTGCAGCATCGTCAGCTCCAGGTGGTGCAGCAGCAGGTGACGCGCCCAAAGCAGGTGCAGCAGGGGCGGCAGGGGCAGCAGGTGCAGATGCTGTTCCTGCAGAAACAAAATCGGTAACAGAGAGAGCGGCACCAGGCGCAGACGCAGGGGCGGCAGGGGCATCACATGCAGCAGGGGGGGTTGGGGCAGCAGAGGGTGAGCAGGAGGGGAAGGACGATGGTGGGTCGATGTGGGAGGTGGTGATCTGATGCAGTGCACTCATGCACGCATGCATGAGTTGAGGGGGACTAAGGGGATTCCCACCACTGTTACCACCACAGACCCTGGCCCTGACGCTGCCCTGCACTGTTGTATATGCTAGAAAGGCATGATGCCGGCGTTGCGGAAGCTAGATTGTAGTAAAACAAGGCTTGCAGACTTGCCATGAATTGGTTGGAAGCATCATAAAAGAAATGGAATTGATAATAGCATCACAGAGCAGGGCATTTATCCTTGCAGCTAACCCTCCAAAGTCCACCCATCCACACCAATAATTGTACCACCAATAATGGCAACTCCAATAAAGGAGTACTGTCAGAATGAGGAATGGATGATGCATTGATGTTGGTTGGGGTACATATAGCTAACCCTAAGTTTTGTACCCCCTAAGACAAACCTCACTATAGGCTACAACATTTGACACACCCCCATAGCCTAAGTGAGGGGTGTCTAGCAGAACCAAACGAGTACGGTCACAAGACCAGTCCAAGAAACGAAGCTCAGGGTGGATCACAACGTCACCACACAGTCTGAGCACAAACAACAGTGGCCACAAGGCCAGTCCAAGAAGTAACAGAGGTATATAGAAAGCAAAGTAAACAGTACACTCAAGCCTAAGCAACACGAGAACCAGTGTCAACAAGGCCTAACTGCACACAGCACCTCTGGTGGTCACAAGGCGGAAGCGCCTTGGTGAAGATGTCTGCAGTGTTGGCCTCGGACTCCACAAACTCAAAGCGAGCCTGTCCACGCCTCTGCAACTCTCGCAGAAGAAAGTACCTGACGTGAATGTGCTTCACTCTGCTCTCCAGTCGTGGCTCTCGACAAAGGAGAATAGACGCCTTGTTGTCAGTGAACAAGGTCGGTGCAGAGCTCGGCCGCTCACCAAGGTCGGTGAGCAAGAAGGTCAACCAACGCAGCTCCTGTGCCGCCATGGCACCAGCGTAGATCTCAGCCTCAGCTGTAGAGGTCGAGACCGAAGAGGAGCGCGTGGACCGCCAGGAAACAGCTCCAGAACCCAGGCTGAAACAGTACCCCTGAGTAGACCTGTGAGTCTCAGCGTCGTCAGCGTAAGAGGAGTCACAGTGACCAGTAAGTACGACAGACTGCTGCCCTCCAAGAACTAGCCCCACGCCTGACGTCGTCGCTAGGTACTTCGCCACCCTCACAGCTGCTGTCCAGTGAACAGGACGGTGTCTCCCTGGCGCAACAAAGCGCGCAAGAACGCTGAGAGGGAAGGCGAGGTCCGGGCGAGTACAAGTCATCAGGTACATGAGGCAACCCACAAGCTCTGCGTAGGGACCACTAGGCTCGAACGGCTCGTCAGGAAAGGGTCCAGTGAGTCTGTGGTCAACAGCAAGAGGTGTGCGCTGTACTGTGGAGTGCTGAAGCCCGAACCGCTGAAGGACCTGCTGCACCATGTGCGACTGTGAAAGTGTAATGGTGCGAGCAGCTCTGTCCCTGGTGATCTGCAGGCCAAGGTAGTGGCGCAGCTCACCAAGATCAGTGCAGGTGTGTCTCTTCTACAGTTCGGACTTCACGTGTGCCAAAGCAACCCTGTCAGGGGTGGCGAAAACAAGGTCGTCAACGTAGACCAGAACAAAGAAAGGTGTGGGGCCACGACGAACGAACAGCGACGGGTCAGCAGAAGACGGCTGGAACCCAAGGTCAGACAGGGTAGAACGCAGGGTGTCGTGCCACTCACGAGGAGCCTGACGAAGACCGTAAACCGGTCGCCTCAGCCTCCACTGGGTCCCAGGAGGGAAAGAGCCAGTGAAGGCAGAGGGACGACGCAACCAGACCTCCTCGTGAAGACTGCCCTGAAGGAAAGCAGTAGAGAAGTCGAGAGAGTGTAACTCGTAGTCTCTCTGTGCTGCTACGTGTAGTAACACCCGAAGAGTGGTCATCTTCGGGGTGGGCGCGAAGGTCTGAAAGAAGTCAACTCCCTCGCACTGACTGAAACCTCTAGCCACGTAGCGCGCCTTGAAGACTGGAGGAGATCCCGGTGGCCGCTTCACCCTGTAGATCCACATGCCGTCGACTACGTTCGCCCCCGGAGGGGGAACCTCATCGACGTAGGTGCCTGTGGATCTGTAGGAGGCCATCTCTGCGTCCATGGCAGCTCTCCACTGAGAGGCCCAAGGCCCTGACACTGCCTCAGCGTAAGTGCGAGGAGTCGGAATGTCAAGGGCGTCGGGGTCACCCTCAGGGGCGAGGAGCATGGCACAGAGATGAGGGGAAGCGGCCGCCAGGAACTCTAGCTCAAACTGCCTGTCCTCTAGGGCGTCACAGCCAAGGGCAGACACACCCCCGACGGCCAGAGGACTGGAAGGAGGAGCTGCCACAAGAGCGGTGGCGAAGTCAAGGCGGCGGGTAGAGGCAAACTCAGTGACTGCGGCAGTAAGAGCGGACACAGAGGACACAGAGGCACGAGGGTGGGTAACAAGAGAGGCGAGAACACGAGAGAGAACAGGACGGTACGTGCGGTAGTAGTCAGTGACAGGAGAAGGAAGCGACACAGTGAGGGCCGACTCAGGAGGAGACGGAAGCACAGACGGAGACGGACGAGGTGGACGAGAACAAAGGAAGGCTGTACGAAGGTCAGTGAAGGGAACAGGAGACGAGGGACGAGCACGAGGGGAGCGACGAGAGGCCCAAGTCTGAGAAGGAGGAGGAGACAACGAAGACTGAGAACGAGGGAAAACAGCGGGAGAGGGGTCAGGAGGAGGAAGCGGAGGACCAGAGACGGGAGGAGAGGGGGAGGAGGAAGGAGAGGGAGACGGGAGACCAAGGGTCCGAAGACCCGAGACAGGAGGAGGAGACGGCAGCAGCTGCTGCTGCTGCTGCTGCTGCTGCTGCTGCTGCTGCTGCTGCCGCGGCTGCTGTGGCTGCTGCTGCTCCAGCGGCTGCTGCCTCTGCTGCTGCTCCTGCTGCTGCTCCTGCTGCTGTCGCTCCTGCTCCTCGAGCCGCTGCAACTCTCTCTCCTCTCTCTCCAACTCCAGCTGCTCCTCACGAGCACGGCGAACACGAGCCTGGAACCTGGTCGGGTAGGGGTGGGGGGAAGGAGTAGTGTCCGGGGCAGCGGCAGCCCCAGAGTCGACCTCCGAAGCACCAAGCACACCACCCCCAGAGGCAGCACCAACACCAGCTCCAGACCCAGGCTCTCCAGAAACCGAAGGGACACCCTCACCCCCAGACGCAGCACCCCCAGACTCCGCACCAGCACCCCCAGACTCCGCACGACCAGTACCAGCCCCCGGAAGACAAGAGTCCTCTGCAACCCGCGGCTCAGCTCCAACTCCAGCACCCCCAGAACCAGAGACCTGTACAGGGACAGTCGCAGGACCAACCTCCCGAGAGGGAGCACCTGCAGGAGGCGGCGAGGAAGACTGTGGGGAGGGAGGCTGTACAGGGGGGGCTACCGAAGGGGGAGGGCTGGCCTGAGACACACCAGACGGGGCTGGACCAGGGGGGGGAGGCTGTACCGGGGGAGCAGGCGGGGGAGCGGCTGTCAGGAAGAGGGGGGGAGGAGGAACCGGGAGACCTCGACTGGGGTACCTGACGTAGTACGGGGTGGACTCCTCGAAACGGACGTCACGGGAGTCAAAGAACCGGTGAGAGGGAGGGTGGTAAAAGGTGAAGTCAGAGGAGTCCTCAGGGAAACCAAGGAAGACACAAGGAACGGCGCGAGGCGAGAGCTTGTCCGCGGAGGTGTCGCGGACAAGAGCCAAGCACCCCCAGACACGAAACCTCGACGCGACACCAGGGGACCCTGTCCAAAGACTGGTCGGTGAAGCCTCCGGCCGAGAGACGCGTGGCCAGAGGTTCAGCTGGTGCGCGGCGTACCTGACTGCGTATGGCCACAGGAAATGGGGGGCACGGGCGTGAGTCAAGGAGGTGCGGGCAATCTCCATGACCAGGCCTATGCGACGCTCAGCAACCCCATTCTGCTGTGGGGACTCCGGAAGCGTCCAGGACTGACGAATGCCCTGTTCGCGACAGAATCTAGCGAGAATGCCGGAGCGAAACTCGCCCCCGCGGTCGGAGTGGAGACAGCTGACACGACGACCACGAGTGTCCTGGGTGGTAAGCAACCACCTGATCAGCGTAGAAGTCACCTCAGACTTCCTCGCCAGGGGGAACACTGTGGTATAGCGGGAGTAGTCGTCAACGACCACCAAAAAGAAACGCTCACGCTCAGGGCCAGGGCAAGGAGAGGGGCCCCAGACGTCCAAGTGCAGCGTCTCAAAAGGCTCGGTGGCCGGACGAAGGGAGGAGGAGTGAGGGGTGGCACGCAGCCTACCCTCGACGCAAGGACCGCACGGTGGTGCAAGGGACGGCGGCAGCGACGGCAAGACACGCGGGAGACCTAAGACCAGACGCTGACTAGACATAGCACGCAGACGTGGAAGAGAAGGGTGTCCCATCCGGTGGTGCCACAGAACGGTGGGGTGGGCAAGCGACCGACAGGAGCAAGACGCAGCGACTGGACTGGACGCGACAACCTGAGGGGACGGAACCACCTGGTGAGACGCAGGGAGGAGACTAGGGGGAGGGACAGGAACTGGGAGGAGTGGCTGCTGCGACGGCGGCCGCTGTGGCTGCGGCTGCTGCTGCTGCCGCTGCTGAGGCTGCTGCTGCTGCTGCTGCAGTCGCTGCTGAGCGCGCGGGCCAGTGTGAAGAGTGTAGAGACCGGAGCCCGGCTCAGCAGCAAAAGTGGCGAGAGGCTGGTAAGAGTCCCCGTCAACACACACCGCAGTCTCTCCAGAAGGCTCAAACCACACACCCACGTGCTGACTCACAAGGGGTCGCACGCCCACCAAGTTCCGGGAGAACGAGGGGACGTGAAACCCAGTGAGAGACCCAGAAGGAGCAGCCGGACACGGCAAGGTGGTAGTGTGACGCGCGGTGACTGGTCCCGAAGTGGGATCAGCCAGCGCCACAGAAACAGGCGCAGGAAGAGGCGTAAGTGTCGTGCTGTCACGAAAGAAGCAGTGAGAGGCTCCAGAGTCCAGCGTGAACGACAGCGAACCGTCCTCTGAGGTAGCCGCTGGACTAGAGTCTACACAAGAACCTACACTAGCAACAGGCGACGGGACGGGACGGGGACGGGACGGGGCAGGGGCGACGGGACGGGACGGGGCGACGGGACGGGACGGGGCAGGGCGACGGGACGGGGCAGGGGCAACGGGACGGGGCAGGGCGACGTGACGGGGGGAAAGGGCGCGACGCGACGGTGGGAAAGGGCGCGACGCGACGGGGGGAAAGAGCGCGACGCGACGGGGGGAAAGGGCGCGACTCGACGGGGGGGAACGGGCGCGACGCAACGGGGGAAAAGGGCGCGACGTGACGGGGGGGAAAGGGCGCTAGGCGACGGGGGGAAGGGCGCTAGGCTCGGCACTAGGCGCGGTAACAACGGAACCGGTACGAACGAGAGGTAGGATCAGGCTCGGGAGATACGAACGGAGAACGGAGGAACGGGATCCCACAGGATCCTAACCTAACTGATACCATGTCAGAATGAGGAATGGATGATGCATTGATGTTGGTTGGGGTACATATAGCTAACCCTAAGTTTTGTACCCCCTAAGACAAACCTCACTATAGGCTACAACATTTGACAAGTACCAATAATTCTACCCCCAGGAGCTCTAGACTCCAGCCAATCAGCCCCTACAATAATTTTACAATTATTGTAGGGCCTAGATGCTTATAGAGGGGACTACACTAAAATCTAACAGCATATAACTTTCTTATGATTGTATATTTCCAACACTCCCCCTTGCTGTCGATTTTAGTGAGTTGGTTTGTAGATGACGTGTTAAGTTGTAATGTGTTATTTATATGTAGGTAGGCTGTAGTGGGGTAGCCAATACAGGGTACAAACCAACTTGGGTTAGCTACTTGTACCCAACTGTTTCTTTCAATGCACTCATTCTTGCCTAGTTCTTCTAACATGGTATTCAGAGCAGGAGGTCCCTAGGACCTACCGACCGTTTTTTTTTAAGGGCCCACCACCGCTCGCATGCGGTTACCACGCTACCCCGTGCCCTAGCCTCGTAGCGCCCTCGTGCGCCCTCGTTAGCGCCCTCGTGCGCCCTCGTTAGCGCCCTCGCGCGCCCTCGTTAGCGCCCTCGCGCGCCCTCGTTAGCGCCCTCGCGCGCCTCTCGTTAGCGCCCTCGCGCGCCCTCGCTAGCGCCCTCGCGCCCCCTTGTTAGCGCCCTCGTGCGCCTCTCGTTAGCGCCCTCGCGCGCCCCTCGCAGCGTCGCCCGCCCGCCGAGCCGCCCGCTCGCAGCGTCGCCCGCCTACCGCGCTGCCCGTTTCGCAGCCCGCCCGCCGCGCTGCCCGCTCGCAGCGTCGCCCGCCCGCCCGTTGCTCGCTTGCAGCGTCGCCCGCCCGCCCGCTGCCCGCTTCGCAGCGTCGCCCGCCCGCCGCGCTGCCCGCTCGCAGCGTCGCCCGCCCGCCTCGCTGCCCGCTTGCAGCGTCGCCCGCCCGCCCGCTGCCCGCTTCGCAGCCCGCCCGCCGCGCTGCCCGCTCGCAGCGTCGCCCGCCCGCCTCGCTGCCCGCTTGCAGCGTCGCCCGCCCGCCCGCTGCCCGCTTGCAGCGTCGCCCGCCCGCCCGCTGCCCGCTTCGCAGCCCGCCCGCCGCGCTGCCCGCTCGCCGCGTCGCCCGCCCGCCCCGCTGCCCGCTTCGCAGCCCGCCCGCCGCACTTCCCGCCTGCAGCACCGCGCTGCCCGCTTCGCAGCCCGCCCCCCGCACTGCCCGCTCGCCGCGTCGCCCGCCCGCCGCGCTTCCCGCCGAGCTACCTACCTGCAGCGCTGCGGCAGCTTCCTTTGCTCAGTCGCACTGTCGCTATGGCTTCCATCCGCGTGCTGTCGTTCGATGCTGAGGGCCGCCCTGTGAAGTTCGCCACTTGGCTGGATGACCTGCAGCTGTTCCTTCTGAGCGATAGCAAGGAGCATGTGTCGCTCTATGATTACGCGTCTGGTGCTGCACCTGCCCCTCCTGCCACAGCTGAGCTTAGTGTTCGTTCCCACTGGCAGACTCGTGACGCAGCTGCTCGCCTAGCCATTCGCAGTCACCTGCCGCTAGCTGAGCTCGAGCATTTTGGCGACTGCAAATCCGCTAAGGCCCTGTACGATGCTGTCGTTGCTCGCTACTCCTCGCCTGCCACAGCCGAGCTTAGCCGCCTCATGCTGCCGTACCTGTTCCCTGAGCTGTCCGCCTTTGCTACAGTCGCCGATCTTATCACTCACCTTCGCACTAGTGATGCTCGCCTGCGTGCCGCCCTTCCCACCGAGTTCTGCGCTAAGAATCCCCCTCCACTGTACTGGACACTCCACTTCATAGTCACCCGTCTCCCTGACACCCTCAGCTCAGTTCGAGACCACTTCCTTGCTCGCTGTCCCACTGAGCTCACAGTCGCCCTCCTAGAGGAGCAGCTGCTAGCGGCCGAAAAGAGCATTGTAGCTGTCGGTGCTGCTCGTGGCGCTCCTCGCACCCCCATCTTTGAGGGGTGTTCTCCCTCTCCCCTCGCTCCCTCCTACGCTACTGCTGCTGCTGTTGACTTCCTTGGTGCTGAGTCTGCTGGCGCTGCTTCTGCTCCTGGTGGGAGGCGCCGCACCGGCAAGGGCAAGGGGGGCAAGGGTGGCGGGGGTGGCGCTGGGGGGGGAGGAGGTGGGGGAGGTGGGGGGGGAGGCGGTGCTGGAGGGAGCGGTGGCGGGAGCGCTGGTGGGAGTGGGGTCGGCGGTGGAGGCGGGGGCGGCGGAGGAAGCAGTGGCAGTAGTGGCGGCGGCGGCGGTGGCGGCGGTGGCGGCGGTGGCGGTGGTGGCGGTGGCGGTCGGAGCGGTGGTAGTGGTGGCGGCGGAGGTCGGAGTGGAGGCACTGGCTCGGGCCAGAGCTCCCAGCAGCAGCAGCGTCCCCAGACGACCCAACAGCTTCGTGAGTGGCTTGCTCAGCGTGGGACGTCGGGGGGCAGTGGCCGCTGTTCCTATGTCATTCGCACAGGTGACCGCAAGGGACAGACGTGTGGGAGGTTCCACACCCCGTACCGTTGCTTCTCCCGCCTTGACGACGCTTGGCGTGAGGAGATGGGCGAGGATGTTGAGCGCCCCCGCTGGGCTGAGCTCATGAGGGCTGGTGTTGATATCTTTGCTCTTGACTATGATGCTATTATTGCTGCCATGTATGCATTGACTGTTAGTGCCGAGGGAGACTGTTACTTGTGTGTGCCGCCTGACCCAGGTATAGAGCCCGCTGCCCTGGGTACTAGTGAGTCTGCTCTCTCTGGTATGGTGCCCCCTGTACTTGCTCCCTCCAGTGCTGTCCCGGCTGTTTGCGAGTCTGCTCTCTCAGGTACAGCACCCACAGAGACTGCTCTCTCAGGTACCGCACCGGCTGAGGCCTGTCACACCTTCACCCTTGACTCAGGTGCTTCCCGCTGTTTCTTTCGTGACAGTACTGAGCTCACACCGCTTCCTGCACCGGTCCCAGTCTCCTTGGCTGACCCCTCTGGGGGCCCAGTCCTTGCCCAGTCCACCACTGTGCTCCCTTGTCCGGCGGTTCCGTCTGGCTCGTTGTCGGGTTTCCACCTCCCCTCGTTCTCGACGAACCTGGTGAGCAACGCTGTCATCCAGGATCAGTGGGTTGACACCTTTACCCCTGGAGGACAGCGTGTGGCGATCTGCACGTGCTCCAGGACCGGCCGTCACCTGGCTAACCCGTCGGCCGGGGTCGAGTCTCTACACACTGACCACTGCGTCTCCTCAGGTTGCTGCTGTCGGTCAGGTGTCCGCGTCAGGTCTGGTGGCCCACGCCTGTGAGTGTCGTTCCCTGTCGCACCAGACTCTTCTCTGGCACCACCGCCTGGGTCACCCCTCCTTGCCACGCCTCCGTGGCATGCACCGTCGCTGCCTTGTGTCTGGTCTTCCCAGGTCCCTCCCTCCCCTCCCTGCCTCGCCTGCGCCGCCTTGCCTTCCTTGCGTCGAGGGGCGGCAGCGCGCCGCTCCTCACTCCTCCTCGTTCCCCCCGACAGAGGCTCCTCTGCAGACCCTCCACCTGGACGTGTGGGGCCCAGCCCGCGTTCGTGGCCAGGGCGGTGAGCGGTACTTTTTGCTGGTTGTCGACGACTACTCGCGTTACACCACGGTCTTCCCCTTGCGCACCAAGGGTGAGGTCCCTGCTGTTCTGATCCCTTGGATCCGCACAGTTCGTCTCCAGCTCCGCCGCCGTTTCCGGACGGATCTTCCTGTCCTGCGTCTGCACTCTGACAGAGGTGGTGAGTTTTCCTCCGATCTCTTGAGGACCTTCTGTCAGGCGGAGGGCATCGAGCAGACCTTCACGCTTCCGGACTCCCCACAGCAGAATGGGGTTGCTGAGCGCCGCATTGGCCTGGTCATGGAGGTCGCTCGTACCTCCTTGGTCCACGCGGCGGCTCCCCATTTTCTGTGGCCGTTTGCTGTCCGGTACGCCGCGCATCAGCTCAACCTCTGGCCCCGTGTCTCCTTGCCGGAGACCTCGCCCACACTGCGTTGGACGGGGGAGGTTGGCGATGCGTCGCGCTTCCGGGTGTGGGGTGCTCGTGCCCTTGTCCGCGATACGTCCGCGGACAAGCTCTCCTCCCGCACGCTTCCCTGTGTCTTCCTTGGCTTTGTCCCTGACGCGCCGGGCTGGCAGTTTTACCACCCCACCTCGCGCCGGGTCTTCGCCTCTCAGGACGTCACCTTTGACGAGTCGGTCCCTTTTTACCATCTCTTCCCCTACCGCACTGCCCCCCTCCCTCCCCCGCCGCTTTTCCTTGCTCCTGGTCCCCCTCCGGTAGACCCCCTTCCCCCTCAGGGTCCTGCTCCTTCAGGTGTCTCTCAGGTAGACCCTCCTCCCGTCGCTGAGCCTGTCGAGGTCACAGGTGACTCAGGTGCTGCTGCAGGTGGTGCTGCTGGGAGTGCTGAGCCTGGGGGTGCTGAGCCTGCGGGTGCTGGGCCTGGGAGTGCTGGGACTGCGGGTGCTGGAGCTGAGGGTACTGTGCCTGGGAGTTCGGCGCCTGGGGGTGCTGAGCCTGGGGGTGCTACGACTGGGGGTGCTGAGCCTGCGTGTACGGAGTCTGGGGGTGCCGAGCCTGGGGGTACTGCGCCTGAGGGTACTGAGCCTGGGGGTGCTGCTACTGAGCCTACGGAGCCTGGGGTTGCTGCGTCTGGGGGTGCTCTTCCTGGCGGTACTGGAGCTGCTGGAGCTGACGACGCTGGAGCTGACGGTTCTAAACACGGTGGTCCTGCTGGTTCTGGAGGTGCTGGCGAGGGGAGGTCTGACGCTGCTGGGGCCTCTGGTGCTGACGTCGCCGACTCGGGGGGTGCTGCGGCGGAGGGTGCTGGTCCAGGTGCTTCTGGTGCTCCGGGTGCTGGAGGTGCTGGCGGAGCTCCGCCGTCGCGCCTGTTCTTCGCTCCGCCGTCGCCGTCGGCTTTGCCACCGCCTGACACGGTGCTTCGCCAGGTTCTTTCCCTCCCGTCTTCCACTGGCCTTCCCCTCCAGCCTGGCTCCCCCCTCCCTGCTCCTGTGCCTTACACTGCGCAGCCGGACTCGCTTACGGAGCGTCGCGAGCCTGCGTCTCGTCCTGCCTCGCCTGTTCGCGCTGCTCGCACTGCTCGCACTGCGCGCACTGGTCCCACTGGTCGTCGTGTCGCGCGTCCGCGTCCTCCTCCTGTTCCTGGCACGCACATTATGGCCCTTCGTCCTTCCACTGGTCCACAGCGTGTCCCCCTACCGTCTCCTCCTGCGTCTTCTCTTCCTGACGTTCCCGACCCTGAGTCTGACAGTGTTCGTGCTGCCCACCCTACTGTTACGCGTCTTCTCGCCACTGTTGTCACTGACCCGTCGTTTGAGTCTTCTGCTGCGTCTGCCCTGGTCGCTGAGCTTGTCGACTTTGCTGCTGCCTGTCGCCTCGACTACGCCGCCAGTCTTGTTGCTGAGTCTGAGTCTGTCTGTCCTCCGTCCGTCGGGGGTGGGTGTGCTCTTGGCACGGACGTCCTTGAGGACAGGCAGGAGGACTTTGACTCTCTCGCGGCTGCTGTACCTCATCTCGTGGCCTGGTTGCTTGCCCCTGAGGGAGACCCGGATGCACTAGACATCCCCACTCCGCGCACTTACGCAGAGGCGATCTCGGGTCCCTACTCCTCTCAGTGGCAGACAGCCATGGACGCAGAGATGGCATCCTGGAAGTCCACAGGCACCTACGTCGACGAGGTTCCCCCTCCTGGGGCGAACATCGTCGATGGCATGTGGATTTTCAGGGTGAAGCGGCCGCCGGGTTCTTCGCCTGTCTTCAAGGCTCGTTACGTTGCTAGAGGCTTCAGTCAGCGTCAGGGGGTCGACTTCTTCCAGACCTTCTCCCCCACCCCGAAGATGACCACTCTTCGGGTTCTGCTGCACGTTGCTGCTCAGCGTGACTACGAGCTTCACTCTCTTGACTTCAGCACAGCGTTCCTGCAGGGCAGCCTGCACGAGGAGATCTGGCTGCGCCGCCCACCTGGCTTTACTGGGTCGTTTCCTCCTGGTACCCAGTGGAGCCTCCGCCGGCCAGTCTACGGTCTCCGCCAGGCGCCACGTGAGTGGCACGACACACTGAGGACTACACTTGCGGCTCTTGGGTTCGCGCCGTCTACTGCTGACCCGTCGCTGTTTCTGCGCACAGACACGTCGCTGCCGCCGTTCTACATTCTCGTGTACGTCGACGACTTGGTCTTTGCTACTGCTGACACTGAGGCACTCGCTCGTGTGAAGTCGGAGCTGCAGAAGAGACACACCTGCACTGACCTGGGTGAACTGCGTAGCTACCTTGGCTTGCAGATCACCCGGGACAGAGCTCGCCGCACCATCACCCTGACTCAGTCACACATGGTGCAGCAGGTCCTTCAGCGCTTCGGCTTCCAGTTCTCCTCACCACAGGCCACACCTCTGGCTACCAGCCACTCGCTCTCAGCTCCACCTTCGGACGAGTCCGTAGAGCCGAGTGGCCCGTACCCAGAGCTTGTAGGCTGCCTCATGTACCTGATGACTTGCACGCGACCTGACCTCGCGTACCCACTTAGCATCCTTGCTCGCTACGTTGCGCCTGGGAGACACAGGCGAGAGCACTGGGAGGCTGCTAAGAGGGTGCTGCGTTACTTGTGCAGTACATCAGGCATGGGGCTGGTGCTTGGAGGACACGACAGAGTTGTCCTCACTGGTCACTCGGACGCTTCTTGGGTGGACGACCTGGCTACGCAGCGGTCGTCACAGGGTTACACCTTCAGCCTTGGCTCTGGTTCTGTCTCGTGGCGGTCCACCCGCTCTTCTTCTGTTCTCGGCTCTAGTTGTGAGGCTGAGATCTACGCCACAGCCATGGCTGCACAGGAGTTACGCTGGCTCACCTACCTGCTGACTGACTTGGGAGAGCGGCCTAGTTCTCCTCCAGTTCTGTACGGTGACAACAAGGCGGCTCTTGCCTTGTGTCAGGAGCACAGACTGGAGCACAGGACGAAGCACATTGCTCTTCGCTACTTTCTTGCTCGAGAGCTTCAGCAGCGCGGTCAGCTTCGGCTTGTGTACGTGGACTCGAAGGCCAACACTGCTGATATCTTCACCAAGGCGCTCCCGCCTAGTGATCATCAGCGGCACTGTACTTCTTTAGGCCTTGTGTCCACGTTTCCTCACTTGCTCACTGCTTGACATTCTTTGTACTGTACTTTATATTTGTCTTGCTGCTTGTCCTGTTCTATATCTAGCACTACATGTGAACTGGCCTTGTGGCCTTTGTTTGTGCTCGGAGTGTGGTGACGTTGTGATCCACCCTGGGCTTGTTTTTGCTTTGCTGGACTGGTCTTGTGACCCTTTGCTCTCCCCCACTTTGCCTATGGGGGTGTGTTAAGTTGTAATGTGTTATTTATATGTAGGTAGGCTGTAGTGGGGTAGCCAATACAGGGTACAAACCCAACTAGGGTTAGCTACTTGTACCCAACTGTTTCTTTCAATGCACTCATTCTTGCCTAGTTCTTCTAACATGACGGTGTGGATGAGGTTGTGCTTTTGTGACGGAGGTAA